TGTCCTTTTGGTTGCTATTTTGTTTTGATTTGTTTAAAAAAAAAAAAGAAATTTAAATTTTATATGCCTCTTTTCTGACTGTTGTCATTGTTACTCAATGTTCTCATCACTGTTAAGAAAAGGCAGACAGCACTGTGAGAGTCATGTTCTTTGCTTTCTCCAGTGCATTTAACACAATCCAGCCTGATTTGCTTTGTCAGAAACTTTAGAAGACTCAGGTGGAGGACTCAACCATCTCCTGGATCAAAGACTATCTGACAAACAGACCACAGTTTGTGAGACTGAAGGGTTGTGTCTAACCAGGTGGTCAGTAGCTCAGGAGCACCACAGGGGACTGCATTCTCACCATTCCTTTTCACTCTGTACACCTCAGATTTCCAGTACAAAACAGACTCCTGTCATCTGCAGAAATATTCAGATGACTCTGCAGTGGTTGGGTGGATCAGAGATGGACAAGAAGCTGAGTACAGGGAACTGGTGGACCGCTTTGTGGCATGGTGTGGAAACAATCATCTCATCTTGAATGTGAACAAAACAAAGGAGATGATTGTAGATTTCAGGAGAATCAGGAACAGGTCCAACCCTATTTCCATCATGGGAGAAGAAGTGGAGGTTGTGGAGAAGTATAAATACCTTGGAGTTCATCTGGACAATAGACTGGACTGGAAATGCAACAGTGAAGTGTCTACAAAAAGGAACAGAGCAGACTGTACTTCTTGAGGAAGCTGAAGTCCTTCAATGTTTGCAGTAAGATGCTGCGTATCTTCTATAAGTCTGTTGTAGAGAGTGCTGTCTCTTCTGCCATCATCTGCTGGGGGAGCAGCACCAGAGCAAGTGACTTAAAAAAGATCAACAAGCTCATAAAGAAGGCTGGCTCAGTTCTGGGGACTCCTCTAGAACCTTTGGAGATGATTGTACAAAGAAGGATTCTTCATAAAATGAAGAACATTGTAGACAACCCTCAGCATCCTCTTCATCAGACTGTCATACAACAACAGATTGTCTTCAGTCAGAGGCTTCTTCAAATCCGTTGTAGGACAGATGCTAGAAGAGATCCTTCCTGCCCACAGCCATCAGCATCTATAACAACTCATTAATGAAACCAGGATGATGAGTTACAACAACATATAATTTCCCTCTGGAATTAATATTTTTGAATTGAATTGAATTGAAATCAGGTCTCTCTTGTAAATTGGTCCCCGAGGCTCAATGGGATTAACCTGTCTAAATAAAGGTTGAATGAATGAAAATAACCTGATCTCTCCAATTCAGGAGGTCAGCTAATTCAGGAGTAAACCAGGGGCTGTCTTCTCCTTTTTTCCCGAACTGGTGACAAGGTGCATGTTTATTTTCAAAATAGATGAAACTGTTTTGAAAGTAGTTCCAA